AAAAATATTGGAATAATCAGTAATCTAAAGAGCTATGCATCGTTTTTTCAAATGACAATACAATGATTATATAGTCCAGCATAATGCTGGACTTATTCCGTCTGAGTCTAATGCGAAAAATTTAATAACACCTAACAGATATTTTAACTTTTGCGTGCCGCTCAGCATGTTGTTCGGTTTTTGCGAAGATTACAAACATGTGATAATTAACGCTCATCACGAATTAATTTTGATACGAACGCGCAACGACAACAATTGCATTGTGGAAGATTCAGCGATTGAACCGACGCTTAAATTATTCAAAATACAATGGCGAATGCCTCATGTTATGTTGAACAAAGCCATCCATACTGCGTACCTTGGAAAGCGTACAATAATAGGAATTTTCGTTGAGATTTGTATGAGTATCCTTTATTGCAAAACATGACAAAGCATCGTGGGCTATCAAGATTGCGACTCAGCTAAAAAAATCTAGATATATATTCTCTTTGCTCTGCAAAAAAACATCACTAAACGAACTAAAACTTACTTCGATCATTATAAATTAACCAACGTGAAACTTTATCTAAACATTGAATTTTATCCGTACGATGATCTGAATCTAGATTTCAACAAATATAAAACTGCTGTCTTATATGATATGTATGTACGTTTCCGTACGTCTTATTACCAAATTCCCCGAGAAAATTGTGAAACATTATTGAACATGAAAAACTTTCTTCACGATTATACTCATGTTATCATTGACTGCTTACGACAAAACGAATCCACCAAGAACGGTATCGTGGATATGCGATTAGAATTTGAATTCAAGGAGAATATACTCAAATACTACAGCCTATTGTCTCATCATACACGACAGCGTGATTGAATATAGCCCAATGTCCAACGTAGTACGCAAGATTACGTAAATTATTATTGCTGAAAAAAAAATACCTTCTTCCTCTTTTTAATACAAGAGATAAAAACCAAGAGAAGATTCTTTGCATCGAACACAGTTTCAAAAAGTCGTTCACCATGAGTATACCAAATTGTTTGTGAATCTGCAAGTATTTATCGTTGGAAAAAAAATTGTCGTGAAGAAAGTGTTGAGAAAAGAAGCCATTCTTTCTCATTACATTTTTACATGTTCCATACTATGGAATATCTTGACAAAATCAGAAAAGTATTGCGCTTCCTGGCTGAGTGCTTAACATCATGGATTGCAATAAGAAGACGGGATCCCGACAATAAGACTCTCGTTAAAGAATTCGTGAAAAAACGCGATGCTGGCTGATAGCGACAACTTGATCATAGAAATGTTGGATGCTGATTACGAAGATGCAGATTCTTTACATATAATCTAGATGTTACTAATCTTATGCAATGTTTAAAACATGTTACAAATTATGCGTTACAAAATGTATTTAAAATATACAACTGGTGATCTCAACGCCGTAAAGAAATGTATCAAATTTAAAATAAAACATGAAATTTTTTAAATATATTTTAATTTCTTTCCTCCTTTCCCTATAGTTAAGAATTAGTTAATAATAGCTATTTAATAGTACGATTCAATAAATATTGAATTAGTCAATAAGAAAGCACGCTTGATCATTTTTGTGTTACATTACTAAAAAAAATATTATCATAATTAGTGTTACTAAGTTATATTATTAAAATTCATAAAAATATTATTCATAAAAATATAATTAGTTACTAAGTCGTATCATTAAAAATAAAATATTTAACATATCTATTTAATTAAATCGCGTGCAAGAAAAAAAGATAACGTAAGAGAGCGCAAATATATAATAATAATAAAAAAGATAACGTGGGAGAGGATTCATCACCGAAAAAGGATTTTTCATCAAAGAAGTAACGATGCTGAAAAGGGGAACCATATTATATATTTTTTCATATTATATATTTTATATTATATTTTTTCATGTCCTATGCCATGGCACTTTTTGATGAGATCCGACAAATCTTGCGCTTCCTGGTTGAGTGCTTATCATCATGAATTGCGATGAGCGACGGGGTGGTTCCATACGACAGCAACGCGTCTAATTACGAGGCCATGAAAGAAGAGAATGAAGCACTCGTATATGTCAAGGGATATGAAAAACAGAAATGGCTGATGGATATACTCGATTCTGATATCATCAAAACTCTGGATGCATATTACGAAGATTATATATTACGAAGATGTTGAATCTCTTAGTAATCCAGATTATTGTAATACTATACGATGTGGAAAACATGCAAAGAATTATGCTTTACAAAATGAATTAAAAATATTTAATTGTAGTAACGGTAGTCGCGACGCCAGGAAGAAAAGATAGATTGTAAGATTTTTTAAATAAAATGTATGTTATCTCATATTAATATTTTTAATTCCGCTACCCTAACCAATAGACTTTAAATATACAACAGATGGAGTTAAAAATCGACCGGTAACGTTTTGATAGCTGTTTGTAGCTGTTTGTAGCTACTTAAATATCAATCCGATAACTGTTAAATATAAATCCAATAGCTGTTCAGTAGATGTATGTTTAATTGCGCTTCAATGATACACAAAACGCGACAAAAATGCTGAGGTGGAATCTTTCGAACACCTCATCTTCTCCTATACTTTTTGGCTGAGGCACGCTTTTATTCGAGACATCGTACTTTTTGTTGCTGATATATTATGACGATCTAATTATAACTGATGATCTATTTGATAAAAATGCTGAAGTTTATTCATGAGATCATTCGATCGCATGATGTACTTTTTGGCTGAGATGTAAACTTTTGACCGAGGTATCGTTCTTTTTCTTGTAATGGTATCATATTCTACGAATATATTTACTATAAAATCACGCACAATCCCCCGTGATCAATCAGTTTGCTTGTTGAATTTTCTTGTCGAGTTTGTCAATCTATGTGAGAGTTAACCATAAAAATGGCCAACATCGATACTTTAATGGAATATGCTGCATTTAAATACAGATCCGTCTATTACTGGAAAAAGCAGCTAATTTAAATGAGGGTGCGCTGAACCTACAGATAGTGGCAGAACCATCGAACAACTAGATGGATTAAGAATTGAGTTGGATATCAGCGAAAATAATGAGCTGATGAGAAGAATGTGAGTTTACATTATTATATTACTAGGATTTAAAATGTATAAAATTTTCGTGTTGATTGAATATAATTATCAAATATCGTTTCATATATTTCATTTATAATATTTATTCATATATTTCATTTCATATATTTATTCAGTAATTTATTTTTATTTTATATGAATTTTGAGAAAATGAAAAATTGATATATAATATATAATAATTTTCAAATATTACTTTAAATGATATGAAAAATTCCGAGATATTCCCCATGAACATGCATCACTATAACTATAATAACTATAAACAATACATGTTAATTTCAAATTATATTTTTCTTTTTTTAGATTTAGCACCGCTGATGTCACGAAGCTGAACTGATTATTTGACGTGTTGCTGGAGAGGATACATCGATTGGAAAGAAATGTTGACAAAATTGGAAATTGATTGAAAAGGAGGATAGTGATGATAATAATGATGACGTCACTTTTGTGATGGAGCAAATTCGACATCATAAAAAATATGCGATTATATATA